CCAAAGATGTAAAGGATCTGTATGCTGAAAACTATAGAAAGCTTATGAAGGTAATTGAAGAAGATTTAAAGAAATGGAAAGACATTCCCTGCTCATGGATTGGAAGAATAAATATTGTCAAAATGTCAATACTACCCAAAGCTATCTACACATTCAATGCAATCCCAATCAAAATTGCACCAGCATTCTTCTCGAAACTAGAACAAGCAATCCTAAAATTCATATGGAACCACAAAAGGCCCCAAATAGCCAAAGGAATTTTGAAGAAGAAGACCAAAGCAGGAGGCATCACAATCCCAGACTTTAGCCTCTACTACAAAGCTGTCATCATCAAGACAGCATGGTATTGGCACAAAAACAGACACATAGACCAATGGAATAGAATAGAAACCCCAGAACTAGACCCACAAACGTATGGCCAACTCATCTTTGACAAAGCAGGAAAGAACATCCAATGGAAAAAAGACAGTCTCTTTAACAAATGGTGCTGGGAGAACTGGACAGCAACATGCAGAAGGTTGAAACTAGACCACTTTCTCACACCATTCACAAAAATAAACTCAAAATGGATAAAGGACCTGAATGTGAGACAGGAAACCATCAAAACCTTAGAGGAGAAAGCAGGAAAAGACCTCTCTGACCTCAGCCGTAGCAATCTCTTACTCGACACATCCCCAAAGGCAAGGGAATTAAAAGCAAAAGTGAATTACTGGGACCTTATGAAGATAAAAAGCTTCTGCACAGCAAAGGAAACAACCAACAAAACTAAAAGGCAACCAACGGAATGGGAAAAGATATTTGCAAATGACATATCGGACAAAGGGCTAGTATCCAAAATCTATAAAGAGCTCACCAAACTCCACACCCGAAAAGCAAATAACCCAGTGAAGAAATGGGCAGAAAACATGAATAGACACTTCTCTAAAGAAGACATCCGGATGGCCAACAGGCACATGAAAAGATGTTCAGCGTCACTCCTTATCAGGGAAATACAAATCAAAACCGCACTCAGGTATCACCTCACGCCAGTCAGAGTGGCCAAAATGAACAAATCAGGAGACTATAGATGCTGGAGAGGATGTGGAGAAACGGGAACCCTCTTGCACTGTTGGTGGGAATGCAAATTGGTGCAGCCGCTCTGGAAAGCAGTGTGGAGGTTCCTCAGAAAATTAAAAATACACCTACCCTATGACCCAGCAATAGCACTGCTAGGAATTTATCCAAGGGACACAGGAGTACTGATGCATAGGGGCACTTGTACTCCAATGTTCATAGCAGCACTCTCAACAATAGCCAAATTATGGAAAGAGCCTAAATGTCCATCAACTGATGAATGGATAAAGAAATTGTGTTTTATATACACAATGGAATACTACGTGGCAATGAGAAAAAATGAAATATGGCCTTTTGTAGCAACGTGGATGGAACTGGAGAGTGTGATGCTAAGTGAAACAAGCCATACAGAGAAAGACAGATACCATATGGTTTCACTCTTATGTGGATCCTGAGAAACTTAACAGGAACCCATGGGGGAGGGGAAGGAAAAAAAAAAAAAGAGGGTAGAGTGGGAGAGAGCCAAAGCATAAGAGACTGTTGAGAACTGAGAACAAACTAAGGGTTGATGGGGGGTGGGAGGGAGGAGAGGGTGGGTGATGGGTATTGAGGAGGGCACCTTTTGGGATGAGCACTGTGTGTTGTATGGAAACCAATTTGACAATAAATTTCATATATAAATTAAAAAAAAGTAATACAGGATGTAATAAAGACAACATAAAGCACAGAAAAAAAAATAAAAAATAATAAAATAAAATTTCTGACAACCACAAAAAAAAATAATAAAATAAAATAAAATGCTTTCCAAAAAGTATTATGGAATTTTAAAAGGTAGTAACATGCTCTCTGTTTAGCACACTGTTGGAACATCTTACCAAATGCCTGTCAGGTAGGGAGTTTAGAACCATTCTGAACTCCTTTTTCAGGAATGCAAGGTCAAATAAATGAAGTAATTTTCAAAGCCTTGCATCAAAGTTCCTTTTATATACTCAACTTAAAAGTTTTTAAAAGTGGCAATATTGGGGAGGCACCTGGGTGGTTCAGTTGGTTAAGCATCCCACTCTTGGTATCTGCTCAGGTCATGTTCTCACTGTTCGTGAGTTCAAGCCCTGCATCCGGCTCTATGCTGACAGCATGAAGCCTGCTTGGGACTTCTCTCTCCCTCTCTCTTCTCTCCTCCCTAATTCATGCTGTCTCTGTCTCACTCAAAATAAATAAATAAACTTAAAAAAATTTTTTTAAAGTGGCAATATTGGAGTAGGAAAATATTTTTTACTATTTTTACTAAAAAAACAAAAGACAGGTTGAGTTGCAAGAGAGAATGAGGGGGGGCGGTGGATAAATGAGGTTTGTGCAGTGTTACCTTCTTCCATCGTAGCAGCCTTGGTTAATTTCTGTAGTAACCAGCCCCATTCCTGGAGGAGGGAATGGCATGCTCCAAATTACACAGCAGTCACTAGCAAAGTAAATACCTAGAATTTCCCCGACATTCAACAATTCCTTTTGCCTATGTTTCAGAAACAAAGGGTGAGAGTAATACATGGAATTACAAAATGCCTTTCCTTCCCTTCTATAGCCATAGCCACAAGCTTGTATTTCTTTAATCTGTGTTCTTAGGGGCACCTTGAATTTCCTTCAACAACAGCAAGAGACCAAAATAGGAAGTGAGAGAAAGACCAGACAGCTGGTGGGGACTGAAGAGTGAGTAGAAACCCTTTCTCACCTGACTTAATCCCGGGTAGTGGTAGATAACACAGCTCCTTGGTTTTCTCTCCATAAGCTTTTGCTAGAACAAAGTGCATTCAGCACAGGTGGTCTCTTAGCAACCTTGGTTCCTGTGTCAAAGCACATTAAAAGGTTTTATTGGATAGTGAGGTTGTGTATGAAGTGGAGGACCAGGGAGCCTACTTGGAGAAACTCTAAAATTACTCTCAAAGAAGTCAGGAAGGAGAGCTCAAAGAGTGGACTTTGGAAAATATGACAGTTAAAGTCTAATTTATCACAGAATTGTACAGCTAAAAACTGAACCTTTAACAGAAAGGTTAAGCGAATTCTAGGATTTTCCTGGAAGGGCAAACATTCACCATACTTTTTAAACAACAATTCTCAGGGGGTGGCAGAATGGGAGAGATGTTACTTGGAACTACTAAGTAAGTTCGGAAACCTAAAACACAGTACAGTGATTATGGACAATAAAACTATAGTATAAACATTAAACTTGCTAAGAGACCAGGTTTTAATTGTTTTCAATACTAGAAGAAATGATAATTATGTGATGTGATAAAGGTGTTAGCTATTACCACTATGGCAATCATACTGCAATTTAAATGTATCAAATCAATATGTTGTACACCTCAAACTTATGCAGTGTTATAAGTCAAACACCACTCAATTAAAAACTTCCCTAAAAATTATTTTAAATATATTTGTTTCAGTATCTTCTATGACAACTGTTTATGTAAGACCATAACCCATGCACTTGTGTGTCTGCTATGAATTCTATAAGTTTTCAGACTTTGTATTACTTTTATGAGCAAGTTAGAAAGTGGAGGAGTACATTTATTACAAAAGACCAGGCTGTAAAATTTAGGCACAAATGAAAGATTATGTATCCAATGAAATGATGGTTATTGCAACTATGAGATAATAAAAATGCTACTTAGAAAATTATGTTTAAATATTTAAATAACATTAAATAAACCACCCATTACACTCCTAGACATATAGCCTAGGCATGGATATCCTGCACCGGGACACAGATCCAAATATTGTTCATAATATTCTCCACTTAGAAATAACCCAAACGCCCATTAGTACATAAATAGATAAATTCATATAATGGAATATTATTCAATAATGAAAATTAAGCTACAACTAATACAACAGCAGGGGTAATTTTACAATCACAATATTGAAGTTTTAAAAAGCAAGGCACCAAAGAAATACACAGTGTACAGATACTTACATAAAGCAAAGAAACAGCTAAAAGTGCACAGTTTAGGGGTGCATATGCAGATGGCAACAGTGTTGGAGGTAAATTTATCAAGAAAAGCAAGGGATTGGCTAGCATAAATCAGGATAGTGGTCAGTGACGGGGGGTGGGGAGTTGTAGCCGGATGAGACACATCCAGCACCATTTCATTTCTTGCCCTGTGTGGCGGTTACACTGGCAATCACTTTTTAACCACTTGACAAACAGTACATGTAAGTTTTATGTGCTTTTCTATATGTATGTTAGACTTCACAAGTGAAATATTTAAAAAGAAAAGAAAAGAAAACCGAGAAAGATCTATAAATGATCACAGAGCCTGAGTTTGGAAGGAAGGACTCTATGTGATTTTTTATCCGTGCTTTTTCCATTTCTCACATTTTCCTTTAAAAGGATGTTGCTTCCCTTAGAAAATAAGGAAAGTAGTTTCAAAACTGCCAGTCTTCTTCCTTGTCCATATAATGAAAAGTAATGTATACTGATTTTTTGTCAAAACAATCACTTAAACAAGTATGAACTTGGGAAAATTAGATCAGTGAAACATTTTAATGACAATATGCAACTTACGTGAAAAAGTACAAATAACATATTTTTAATTAAAATGCTTCACTGACAAATTTAATTTTCCTTGAGTTCATTCTAAGTCTGTGGCTAAAGAACATGTTCTTGTCTCAAAGTGCTCATGATAAACAGGAATATGGGCATTTCCTGTTTGGTTCTTCTGCTTGATGATAGATCTGTTTCAAGATCTAAATCAGTGGAAGGATGCAGATTTGTAACATCGCAAGTTTACTGATGCACTCAGATTTTACTGTGGATTAAAACTATGAGTGTAACTACTCTTTGATTTACATTTTGCCTAATTGGTTCTTACTTACCTAGAAGCTTCATAATCAGATGTTTTTTTTCTCCAGGATTGGAGGGACATTCCTTTTGGGGGAAAAACTATTTAACAGCAGCAACTTTCAGGAGGAAAAAAGTGATTGCTAGTGTTTTTTATTGGCTATAACATGCACCCAAAATACAAATTTCAAACAAATTAGGACACTTCTAGAAGTATGCTATAACATATTGAATGTGACTATCTCAAGACCATGGTCTTATCTTGAACGTGATATTTAAAAATCATAATTAAAATAATATCACCTCCAATTTCTGATGTAAGACATCCAAGATTATTCTGGGCCAAATATATTTCATGTTGAAATTTCAGATGACTCCAAATTATTTATCGTCTCATTTGAATGCCTCTACCTACCTTTCTTTTCCCTATTTCCAGAAGGAAGTGGGAATCAATTTATTATTTTATAGAATGTTGTACTGAAAATACTCTGTTATCTAGTTTTTTAAACTCGTATTTATCTTCTGACCCCACTAATAGTTCAAATAATCTAATTCAAATTGACCTGTTCATTGTTTACTGAATGGTTGAAAAGTGGTATCCCACAAAGTAAGTTAGACAAATGAAGAGTAACAACAAACTTTGGTCTCTGGAAGTTGAATTTCACTGTATTCCTTGTTCTTCACCCTGCCATCAGCTTGTACGCTCTTGCCTTTAAAACCTTTATAGTCTTGTTTTTAAATAAAATGGGGCTTCTCAAATCAACTCTGACTTCTATGACCACAAGAAGAATGCATTTGCTAAATGGCTTGGCCCTCCAGTAAGGCTCACCATTTTTTCAACTTCTTTCAACCTCTACTATTTCCCCTTATTAGGCATGGATTCTTGGTCAAGACAAAGAACAGAACATACTTTGGAAAGTCTCATTTTCAATCAAAAGAAAAACACTTTTCATTGGATTAAAGTTTATAGTCTTAAACTCTTCAGTCATGTTTCAAAAATATTTCCTTTTTTGACAAGAATTTGCTAATCCTACTCATGTTTCCATCAGTATCTAATGGTCAATATTGACCAAAGTTCCCTGGAGATACATGTTGAAAAATGACAAATAATGGAAATCTGTCCATTTTTATTTAATAGGTCACTTAAGTAAAATACAATAATTACTATTTATTGAGGGTCTAGCATGTGCCATGCTGTGATTATGTGCTATTAGGAGATGTAGCGACTATCCAAGGCCACACAGTATTCTGTGCTGGATCCTAGATTCTACTAAGCCAGGACTCTAGTCCCCAGATGGCACCATCTTTCAACTACATAGATTTGTTAGTGTTTTCAAATGAAGAGTTACTTTTGAGGGGCACAAGGTGGCTCAGTCAGTTGAGCAGCCAACTTTTCATTTCAGCTCAGGTCACAATCTCACAGTTCGTGGGTTTGAGCCCTGCATCCAGGCTCTGTGCTGACATCGTGGAGCCTGCCTGGGATTCTCTCTCTCCCCCTCTCTATCTGCCCCTCTCCTGCTCATACTCTCTTTGTCTCTCTCTTTCAAAATAAATAAATAAACATTAAAAAATAAAAAAGAAAGAAAAGTTACTTTCGAAAAGATATGTATTACAGTGGAAATTGACCATACTGAAACGGAAATACCCACACATAATTATTAATGACTACTCTTCCTCTTTGGTCCTGGCTCCTTTCTGTGTATGTGCACTGCTGGTCGAATAATGGGTTGGACAGTCTTGCAATTCTGAGAATGAGAACCCTGAACTTGCCAGGATATCTATACAACAGCCAGTTGTTCATTTATTCACATCAAAATAATCTGGTCTTTGTAAGCGGGACACTCACAGACTACCAATGTGATCTTACTGTCTAGCAACCAGGTTTGCCGAAAGCAGAGGTTTTTAAACCTATTTTATTAGCTCTCTTATTTGCAATTTTATTCTTGTTTATTATTACTTTGCTATCTACACACTGATCAACTTGTGACTGACAAGCGTTTCCCCATGACCTCCTTAACATTAGCTATACAAAGAAATAACAAGAATGTTTTCAGGCCATAGTGGTTGAGAGATGCGTCTGAAATCAGACTGATGGGGTTTCACTCAAATCTGCTACTTACCATGAGACCTTGGACAAAGTATATGAACTCTGTGCCTTAGTTAGCCCTTCTATAAAAAGGGGATGAAAATAATAGTACCTATTTCTTACGGCAGTATGAGAATGAAATGAGATGATACTTATGCCTGGCAAGTACACATAACAAGCAGTGATAACTATTCTTAATTATATTCTAGCATATTACCTCCTAGATGGTATCCCTTGAATGAATCATTCTTCTCAGTTTCTCCTTAAACACCTAAACACACAAAACCATGACACGTTTACTCATCCTTTGAGACCCAGCATAACCCCCTCTGTGATCCATCCTGACTTCCTCAGGCAGAATTTAAGACAGGTTGTCTATGACATTGCACTTCACTACCCTGTATTATATTCATTTGTTTGCATAGACCACCCCATAGGCTGTTGCTGGCTTCCTAGCAAGTGAAGATGACGTTACCCACCCTGGATCCCAGTGCCTTGTAGTATATGACACCAATTCATTTTCAACAAATAACGATTTAAAAACTGCACGTAAAGTAGAGGCTTTTTCAGAAGACTGAAAATTCACTTTGTTTAAATGACAACTACAATAAGAAAAACACATATATTAAGTGTACCTTTCCCGAAAATATTTTAAAAATAAAATCTCAAAGTTGGGTGCCTTCTGTTTGTCTCTAAATGGAAAATATCTTTCTCATAAAACTTATGTTCAATAAAATTATCTTTTAGAAACTTGATAAGTCATATGGGAGCTATGTCTTGCTAGTGTTTTTGCTTCTGTATTTGTTTTTTGCTTGTAATTAGGGAACCAAGTCAAGTTGTTGGAAGGCAACAAAAATGTGGCACCAACAATAAGGGATTTTAGGATAGGAATGACTTGTTGGGATGGCTACCGTTTCTACAGCATAATGGAGATTTGCCCCTTTAAGACTCCAGAAATGGATGCTGGTGTGGCAAGCAACTCGTCAAATTTGAGTCATTCAGAAGTTAACTAAAAACTCAGGCCTAGCCAAATGGATTTTGTGTGTTAGGTAAGTTTCTAAAATTTGTGTTCAAGTTGCATTTTCTGAACTAGGTAAGGCTCAATTAGATTCTGCCCAAAGCTGAATCATGTAAGAAAGGAAACTGAACACAAATCTGAGAAATTAATTCAGCAATGATGAGTCTTGTATGAGACAAAGCTTGTTGAATGAGAATCATAATAAGCGACATATGGATTTACACTTAAAAGTTTGCAGGCACGATTGTTGTTCCTTGTTTCCTGATTAAGACAGGATTTCCAACAGATTTTTCTCTTTCCAGCTAAGAAAAACAATAGTAGATAAAGGCCTGAAATATGCGTGGAAATGTTGGCACTGGAAGAGATTTCTGAAATTTCGTAAACTTCCCCTTGGACAAACGAGGCCCAGAGAAGTACAGGAAGTACAGCAGCTTGCCTGAGGCTCCACAGATACTTTTGTTAAGAAGTACTATCATAATTGTCTCAGCAGTTTTCTGACATTTGAGATAAATTGGATTCTGCATTTCACCAGACTTGGCCACTTAGAGAGGTTCTACCTTCATTACCTCCGAAATTCTTTGATACAGGCCAAGGTAAGACCAGAGAGTCTAAAACAAAGTGAGTCACAAGTGAAAACTGGAACACTTGGCAGGTCAGACTCATGAGGCCAGAACTTGACAAAGTGGACTTCGATTGAAAAAAAAAAAAAAAAAGTACATTTTGTCACAGATGGTCAGTCAACAGAGGAGAGCGAAGAGAGAGCATAGGTTTTAGAGCCAGACGGAACTGGTTTTAGATCCTGGTTCTGGCTAGTATTACCTTGTAACCTTGGACCTGGCATTAACCTCATCTACCTTATCTGGAGAGCAGAGATAACATCTGTCTTGCAGGGAGTTGAAAGGATTTTATTTGTAACTATCTAACTATTGTTAGGAAGGGCCTGCAAATGCTTTGATTTAAATCTCATAAAACCTTATATCGTGAGTAATTAGCACTCCTATTACCTTAGGGAAACTGAAGAGCAGAGAGGTTAAATAAACTACTCAAGATCACACACCAGGGACAACCAGATATTTGGATGAAGGTCTGTTTGGCTCCAAAGCTTTAGCCACTGCAGTATCTCAGGACTGGTAAAAAGGTAAGCCAAGAGCCCAGCATGCCACCTCACACTTGATACAGTAGAGGTTATTACAGTGAAGCAGCAGAATCAGAAAATGGCCACTTCCCCGCAGCCCAACTACAGGGAACAGAGAAGAGTGACTCAGATGAATGAGAGGAAACCAAAGGACCTAGACAGGAAAGGCCCAGGAAATTGAGGCAGGTGTGCAGACATGTGGGCAGCAGGGTGCTGGCTTGCCTGGCAGCACTCACGATGGTCCACCTGATCCC